TCTTACCATTTGCAACAGCATGGATGGAACTGGAGAGCATTATGCTAAGTGAAATAAGCCAGTCAATGAAAGAAAAATACCACATGATCTCACTCATTTACGGATAATTAAGACCATTATAAACTGATGAACAAAAATAGATACAGAGGCAGAGCAACATCGAATAGACTGGCAAACTACAGCGGGAAGGCCGAGGAGGGTTGAGGGGGTGGGTAAGAGATCAACCGAAGGACTTGTATGCATGCATATAAGCCTAACCAATGGACACAAGACACTGGCGGGTATGGGAGGCTAGGGGAAGAAGGGAAAAAAAAAAAAAAGAGAGACATATATAATAATTTTTGTAATACTTAAAGCAATAAAACAAAATTAAAAAATTTGTTCTCAATATGAGTATGTTCTGTACACTCAACTTTTCACAAGTCATCCTCTTTGTTATACAAAACTCTTTGGTTCTTTGATGCCGTCCACTAAGCTTACAAAGATATTTCTATAAACAAGTATATGATGATGCCTCTGTTGTGGCTACAGGCATCCCAATGATAACCTCTATATCTAGAAACATCAGCTTATGAACTAGTGCCAATGCACCCGGGGCCTTAATTTCCCAAGAGGTTCAGGTATTAACAAAGGGTCCTCAATAAGGGCATATTAGCTTAAAAAGTGAAATGACAAAATTAATACTCATTAGCTTGACTAGTATATATGAAATTTCACTAATTCCTGAGATAATGAAAAATTTCTTTTTCTTCATTAGTAAAACATACACTAACTCTTGCCACTCCTAACACCCTATTAGAAATGAAGTATTGACCCTGATGTTTCTGCCTGTAATGGCACAGGTCTAATAGGTACAAAGTCAGACAAACTAGCTTCTGAGTCTCAGCTCCTCCTCCTGCTTACTAGAAATCAGTTCCTCTTGGAGTCCGCTTCCTCATCACATTATGTACCAGGTCTTTCGTGAGGATTACATGAAACAATGAACCACTTACCCCCCTGCTTTTTTTCTTTTGCTTTGTTCTTTTTTCTTGTTTATTTAGATTTTTTGTTTTGCCCCAGTGCTATTAAATAAATTATTGTGATTTAATTATAAAAACATGAGGTTAGTTACCTCAGGCTAAGCTGACACATGTCAGTGTACCACAATGACATTCTTACTATCTCAGCCTGCTCTCCAAGATGACAGACTCTATTATCATTTGCCCCATTCAAATGAGAGGAAAATCACTCTCTCTCATAAGTGAATACTACTTAAGTCAAGAATTAAAAAGAGGGCAAGAACCAAGATGGCGGCATAGGTAAACACCAGAGTTTGCTGCCTCGAACAACCACTTCAAAAATACAACTAAAAGACGGAACGGACATCACCCAGAACCACAGGAAGGCTGGCTGAGGAGAGACTCTTCAACTAGAAGGAAAAATAACAGCACACCGAGGCTCAGAGGAGGCGCAGTGTGGAAAATACTCAGGTGCGGAGGTGCGCGCGCAAAGCGGGCTGGTGGCTGAGAGCGCGGTTGTCGTTTTCGGTCAGGGGGGAGTCTCAGACTCTGAGCTCCAGATACGGGCGAATCGCTGGGGACTCGGACTCAAACGGGAGAAGCGGGAGTGTCTGGCATCAGTTGGAAGGCAGCTTTCTCTCCGAGGTTTGCAGCGGTTCCTGGGGTTCTGAGAAGCAGAGCCTCTGGGAACGGGACTGAGGGCACCATAACCGCTCCCTCCGCCCGCCCTGTTGAGCCCGCCCCGCCCAAGCCCTGCGCAGAGCCATTTGCCGGATCGCCTCAGGCAAAGGCTAGATTAGCACCTCCCCAGAGGACAGAAGTTTTCCGCGGCAGACACAGCTGATTCACACAGCCAGTCGGCCTGGTGGTCAAATCCCTCTAGTATTAACTACAACAATCAAGGCTCAACTAGAACAAGACTGCGCACAAAGACCACTAGGGGGTGCACCAAGAAAGCATAAAAAATGCGGAGACAAAAAAACATGACAGAAATGGAGGATATAGAGCTAAAAAACGCAATTTTGAGGGCTTGCAATAAACTTTTGGAGAGCCTCACGAAAACTAATGAGACCCTCGATGCTATGATAAAGAAACAACTAGAAATTAAGCATACACGGTCGGAAATAAAGAATATTACACCCAATAGCAGACCAGAGGAGCGCAAGAATCAAGTCAAAGATTTGAAATGCGAAGAAGCAAAAAACACCCAACCGGAAAAGCAAAATGAAAAAAGAATCCAAAAATACGAAGATAGTGTAAGGAGCCTCTGGGACAGCTTCAAGCGTACCAACATCCGAATTATAGGGGTGCCAGAAGAAGAGAGAGAGCAAGATATTGAAAACCTATTTGAAGAAATAATGACAGAAAACTTCCCCTACCTGGTGAAAGAAATAGACTTACAAGTCCAGGAAGCGCAGAGAACCCCAAACAAAAGGAATCCAAAGAGGACCACACCAAGACACATCATAATTAAAATGCCAAGAGCAAAAGACAAAGAGAGAATCTTAAAAGCAGCAAGAGAAAAAAAGTCAGTTACCTATAAGGGAGTACCCATACGACTGTCAGCTGATTTCTCAACAGAAACTTTGCAGGCCAGAAGGGAGTGGCAAGAAATATTCAAAGTGATGAATAGCAAGAACCTACAACCAAGATTACTTTATCCAGCAAAGCTATCATTCAGAATTGAAGGTCAGATAAAGAGCTTCACAGATAAGGAAAAGCTAAAGGAGTTCATCACCACCAAACCAGTATTATATGAAATGCTGAAAGGTATCCTTTAAGAAGAGGAAGAAGAAGAAAAAGGTAAAGATACAAATTATGAACAACAAATACACATCTATCAACAAGTAAATCTAAAAATCAAGTGAATAAATAATCTGATGAACAGTATGAACTGGTGATTGTAATAGAATCAGGGACATAGAAAGGGAATGGACTGACTATTCTTGGGGGCGGAAAGGGGTGTGGGGGTTGCAGGAAGAGATTGGACAATAATCGTGCACCTATGGATGAAGACAGTGGGTGGGGAGTGAGGGCGGAGGGTGGGATGGGAACTGGGTGGAGGGGAGTTATGGTGGGAAAAAGAGGAACCAATGTAATAATCTGAACAATAAAGATTTAATTAAAAAAAAAAAAGAATTAAAAAGAATCACAACTCCCAGTGCCAGGAGCTTGGCTCTTAGTAGCTTTATGAATTTGTTTCTCCCTCAGGTAAAATTAAGCAGCCAGAAAATGAAAAAATAGAAATGTTTACAAGCATTTAGGCTGGTATTTTCACTTACTTATGCTTTTCAAAAAAAAAAACAAAAAAAAACTTAATTCATAAATTCATGTTTAAAAGATATTGTGCTTTTAAAACTGATAACTTCTGAGTTAGAAGGTCTTAGTTATGGTCCAAAAAGTAGAAATATTTTTTCTGAACTGGGAAAAAAAAACGAAAACAGGCTATCTAGAGCCCAAACATTCCTGAGAAGTACAGGATTTTTTGAACCTTCAAGCATAACCCTAAGATGGGCTTCTGTGGTTATTCCTTAGAGTCAAGAGAAAACAGTAGTAAAATACCATTCTGGCGATCTAGAATCAGAGAAAAAAGGCACTCTCTACCTAGCATTGGAGTTGTTTGAGAGTTAAGTGAGATAATACAGAGTAATACATACAAAGTACTCAATAAATACTGTCATTGTTGTTACTTTACACTGTATTACATTTGTTTACACAGGCATTGAACTCTTCCATCAAGAGACAATATTGTCCACATTTGACAGGTAAAACGGAGAAGATACGAGACAAGTGCTTATTAACTTTATCTGTAATTGTATAACAGTAAAGGTCACATAGCTAAGAAATGATTTTAACCCATTCTCCCGACTACAGCCTCTGCACTGTTCACTGTTAATAAAAAGCACCTCACGTGTTGCAAGCAACTACTTCCCCCTATAAAGGAACTCTAAAATAGAAACTCAGAAAATAAGACTTGATTGGTAATAAACTCAGAAGAAAAATAAACTTATTCCTACTTGTATGAAGGCTTCTGCTGGGGTGGCACAAGGCGCCAAAACAAACCTCAGTTTATCAGAAACTCGTGGATCAATATCAATGAGTACTTCTCGCCATCCTTGTGGGGTTTTCTAAACACAAAATAACGCATAAAAACAAATTTTTGCAAGTCTGTTCTCAAAATTGTCACCAGCAAAAAGTACTATTGGTTTTCTCCTCTTACCATGTATAACATAGATAATATTTACAGACCACTTTTACCACTTAAAATTATTTCAAGGCTTTACTTCATTTCTTCTAAATAATGAGTAGACTGATAGACACAAACTATTAATGTTGTTTAGATAAGAGGTAGAGCTGTAGAAGATGAAATAAGCACCCTGGAAAGTGCCCCAAAATGGAAAACAGACTTAGGAACACCAATCAGAAGCTTTTGCTAATAAATTGCTATATAATACAGACTCTTAGCCTTAGAAGTTATCAGTACACATACATTACTACCAAATCTTAAATCTTCTCACAGGAAGAATAAAGATAAATTCTAATCTTTGAAATTTAAAAATATTTGCTAAAAAGTAATTTTTACTGTACTATAGCCATTTAGCATCTTATACTCTCATGCATCTTTATCTCAGGAGAATTAAGAATTCTTTAATAATTATCCTACGAGAATTAAGAATTCTACTTAATATTTCATTTTTGCTTTTCAATTATTTATATTCATAAGAAATTCCAAATATCGCTAACTTCAACAAGTAATGTTTATACACTGAATAACTAAATACCGCAAATATTTATTCTTACAACACAAGGTCCTTTGTTATTCAATTATAAACATGTCCTGTTTTCCATCATACCTGAAACTTATGCACAGGAAGGACGTCAAAAAATTCATGTGCAACATAAAAGCTGTGCTCTATTTAAAAGTGGAAGAAGAAAAAAATGTTTAAGCATATTTAAGATAACGAATTGGTTCTTCTGAACATTAACAAAAAATGCCTAATTCTTTCACTACTGTGAGGGGTTGTGATCAAATTCTCTCCTTAGTCTATGGAAAATCATTACCTTTTGGAACATCCTGCAGATCTCGGTACCAGGAAATTGGAATCCCAGACTTAGTAACACCTTTCATGTATACTGGGGATCCAGCATCTCGCTCTAATGGGACCTTCTCTTCGGTCAGAGTTAATGCTTGAATCTCACTTAATTTTTGGCTCACCTCTACTAGATGTATTGAAATGTCACACTTTTTCAGCACAGATCCAAGCTGACTAAACACCTAAATAAAAAAAGAAGAAAAATTGGCAAAATACAACGGGCTGAGTTTCGTTTTTCTAACCACTGACCTCAATAATTTGCTCGTCATAGTATAAGTAATAATTGGTTCCAGAAAAATTTGTTCCTTACACAGCCACTCTCCAGCAGTCTCTAAGAATCATAACATATTAGAGTTATTAAACACTAGAGGGCCGTTGCATGAAATTTGTGCAACGGGCTTGGCCCTCACAGCCCCAGCTTCCGCTGGAAGGTCATCAGGAAGGACATCCGGAAGGCTGTTCGGCTGTCCAGTCTAATTAGCATATTATCTAGACTAATAAAAGAGAAACATGGTAATTGGCATACGGCCGCTACCCTTTTCATTGGCTAATCAGTGAGTATATGCAAATTAACTGTCAGCCAAGATGGCGGC